GGAAAAGCAGCCTTCATACGTACAGCTCCACCTTCTTCCAGTATGCTTCTTTTATAACAGGAGCAACTTATCCTGAGTCCCTATCAGAAGCATCACAGGGCAATGGACAACTCTCTTTTTATCAGCTGATCGGCTCAGTGTACAAACAATTCCAGTCAGTGATGCCATCAGAACACAAGTCGCCCGAGCAGTTTTTCCAAAGTTTTGGTGAGGAAGGCAGTTGACTTGTACAACATCAGAAGTGGCTTGATTGCATCCAGGACAGCTCATGGGAACAAGTGGAAAGCAAAGAGCAAGGATTAAAAGCCCAAAGCTTTACTGTATGGGCGTACCCCAAATACGTTAGCAACCTGACCTATTCATGAGTAAGAAATCTGCGAGTCACACAAAAAAATGGCGGCCTTCGATGTTCTGCCACAGAAATAAAAATGGGTAATTCATCCTCAGAACATGTTTAATCTACGTCGGTCTCAAATTTACAATAAAATCACTTGACATCTCAGCTTGTATGACAGAGATCTAAGCTCGTTCAGCACCTCACGTCACACTGGCGGAGTAATTCAAGTAATATGTGCTTGGTGCTAGCGGAGGCATTTCTAGCTAGGAGCTGACGACAATTAACTATAGGGATCAGCAAAATATATTAGGTTTACAAGCTGACGCATCAAATGTAAAAAAGATAGCTAAATTATACAGATGTCATATTGGTTCAGACAATTTTTGGAAATTTTTAAGAATAAATTATTGTTTCACTGAAGAAGTGTCATTGCTCCTTTATATATAGTCCCATCCCTGTCCGTAGGAAATAAGGCTGCCTAGTTGTATATTTCAACCAAACGAATCCGGGAAAAATAAATTTATTGTGACTTGGCATCATTACATCTTGCAAGGTGACAGAAGAAAGTCGTGAATAGCGCCCTCTACTCCACCTGGCCTGGCCGTAGAGTTACATGACAAAAACAATGAAAGATGCCAATTGGTTTTACTTAAAACATGCCTTTTATTCCATAATTGAGTGGTAGGGCACAACCCCGACCACTCCTTGAAATCGTTCGTATTAATCTTCATTTAGGTCTTCTTCTTTTTTTTCCGGACAATACTTCTCCGCGGGTTTTCTCCTAAACGGTTCATGATATGAACTTCTAACTTTCAACATCTATCGACCCTCATCTGAAGTGGTGTATATTACTGACGTCATGATAAAGTCATCAAGTGTCAAATTACAAGTGATTTTGTCCAAAAAATGACCATCTTCATTCACCTATAACCCTTCAACATAATAATCAGTCATGTTTACACCTTGTAATCAGAAAGACCATTAACTGATAAACATTTTTTTTCACGTGTGTGAACTCGCCTGACCTTTACTTCCGGGTCAACCTGAAGGTCAAAGTTAGGTGAATTTAAAATACGGACAGAAGCCTCAAAATCAAAACTAACCGAATTTCTTCCAAACGATTTACATAATTATGATAAAACCTGGTATGAACTTGAACTCCCATCCGAAGATGTAAAAACAAATTCTGACATCATCATGACGTCATCAGGTATCAAATTACAAGCAATTTAAGGGCCAAATTTGTGAAAATAGTTTGAGCTATATCTTTAGAACTAAACAAAGTATCGTGTTCGTTTTTGCGTGAGGTTGTAAATGATGCCTTGGGCAACAGTTCTTACTCCTGGGCACAAAACCACTTGACCTTCACTTCTGATATTTCCAGAAGTGCAATAAAAATTGAATATAACTTGAAAGCGGAAGCTCTTTACTATAAGCAAATAAATTGTAGAAGTGTTTAGAATTGAATAAAGGACACTCAAACAGCATAATGACGTCATCATTTGAAAGGGCGCCCTCTAGTGGTACAACAAATATGATTTCCTTTTTAATTCAAAAACTATCCGTCCAAATTTGACCAAATCGCCCATTGTTATTTTCTATCAACTTTACATACAACTTTGCAATGTTTCAAAATTATGACCTCATCAGACCGGAAGTTACTATAGGGAGAATTTGAAAACGATCCTTTTTAAAAATTCTATCATTTGATCCCTGTCTTATGACTTTATTCGTAGCTCCAATATTGATATCTGTTACAATGCTGACCTTTGGATCTTTACTACTCTGATGTCATCAGACTGGAAAAAAACTTGTTTTAAACAAAATCACTGGATGTACTGGAAAGGTTACATTTTCGTGATCTTTGTTTTGACATAAACTTATTTATTTCAAAACTTAACTGGGCTGTGTCTAATGAAATAGTTGTCGGCCCGACCATTCTGCGTTAGTAACTCAACAAAACGCCTTGCCCTCTATTTCTTATACTATTTCCTTACAATATAAGTAGTATGTGACATATCAAAGGTTATTCTCCATTAGGCCAAAAAAAACAGTCGTACGTCGATTTTGATCATGCACGTCAATCTCTTTTTTCTTTGAAATTTTCCAAGGTAGCAACAACAACAGCACCCTTTCTTGCCGCACCGCCTCAAATTTTCATACCAAGGGGCACCAAGGCAAATGATGTAACACCATATGAGAACACAAACAAGCAAAACAGTACCCACTTTGTCTGTACAATCCAGCTTGGGAAAAAAAATAGCAAATAATTTTTAAAAAAATCCGCAGAACTTTGGTCTGACCAGAGACCGACAATTTTTGTAGGCCTACGGCTTGCGCCCAATTCTGTTTCTCTTTTTGCATAAATGCCCCATATATTATTTCGGTATGCAACTATTAGACCAAAGTGTGAGTTTTCACAGCCACAACAGAAATGTACATGTAGAGCATTATAATTAAAACCCAAATGTTGGAGGGTGAGGGTGGTGTTCTCTCAAAATGAAGGTCTGAAAAAAGCAAAGTGGAAGACAATTGAAATGTTTTGGGATGGTCTGTGTTTGATAACTCACCAAGGCAAGGAGGTTGACTGTTTCTCAGCCCTCACAGTGTGCTCCTTCAACTTGTTTGACAGTGTGATCTGGAGTGACTTGAGATGAGCGTAAGGGATGCCGACTGACGCAATGATCTGATTGGCCTTCTCATCGGTAAGGTCTGCACTCAGTAGGCAACGATGGAGTCCTCTGGTGCTGGCGCCCTGAAGAAGTAGGGTAGGAACCAGTGAAGCTGAAGTCCTACAGGAATGAACAAGGAAGGAAAACTCGTAGTCAAAGTTTGCACAACATGTAATGAAGACAATTTGACCCTCAAACATTTCATTGTGAGTTTATCACACAATCGTTCGGTATAGGAATTTTGAGCCGTCGGTAATGAAAATGGCATATTTCTATTTAAATAGTGCCCTCTTGTGTCCTACTTAAGTGTGCCCTCTACATCTCCTTTCGAATCGGTGTTTGAATATGCCTGCCACTTGCAGACAATACTTTATCAGGTCAATACAACAATCAACGGCCACACAGTAGCCACAGCTGTTTGACAATGCCAGCCACTTGCAGACAATTCTTTATCAGGTCAATACAACAATCAACGGCCACACAGTAGCCACAGCTGTTTGACAATGCCTGCCACTTGCAGACAATACTTTATCAGGTCAATACAACAATCAACGGCCACACAGTAGCCACAGCTGTTTGACAATGCCTGCCACTTGCAGACAATACTTTATCAGGTCAATACAACAATCAACGGCCACACAGTAGCCACAGCTGTTTGACAATGCCAGCCACTTGCAGACAATTCTTTATCAGGTCAATACAACAATCAACGGCCACACAGTAGCCACAGCTGTTTGACAATGCCAGCCACTTGCAGCATATGGAGAACTTTGCCACCCATATGTGCAGAAAATCAAAGCCCTGCATACTCTGCGGTCACACACGGCGGTGCATTGACTCGGCGAACTGTATAGCCCCACTGCGTAGACCGGACTATACATAAACAGCAGGTCGATCCTCAGAACAAAAGCGATGTCTGATTTGACAAGAAAAGTGCCCCTTGTTCTTCTCAACCAATCTAAACGGTTGTTACATGAATGGAAAGCTTATTGTGTTATCTTTCAGAAACCGTGCGAGGTAATTATATGCGACCAGGTTCACACGTGTGCTGTTAGAAGAAGTAAACTCGCACCCTCAAAAATCGGGGAAATGTGCCGTGACCTCCATAGGAAACGCGAAATTTTCAATGAGTTGCCCGTTTTTCAATGAAAAAGTGCACATAATTATTAGCCTTTGATCATGAAGAAATTATATTCATGTGAAAGAGGAAAATCTGTATTTTGTGATGCGATGCAAGGAAGTAAGTTTAACCAACACACTTTCCGCATTTTAACGAAAATGTGCTCAGAGCGCCTACACATGAGCCAGCCTTCCCACATAAACAGAGCTCCACTAGTGGCGAGTGAGCAAATGCTCCCTAGTTCTCCATATGACAATTCTTTATCAGGTCAATACAACAATCAACAGCCACACAGTAGCCACAGCTGTTTGACAATACAAGCCACTTGCATACAATACTTTATCAGGTCAATACAACAATCAACAACCACACAGTAGCCACAGCTGTTTGACAATGCCTGCCACTTGCAGACAATACTTTATCAGGTCAATACAACATTCAACAGCCACAAGGTAGCCACTTGCAGACAATACTTTATCAGGTCAATACAACATTCAACAACCACACAGTAGCCACAGCTGTTTGACAATACCAGCCACTTGCAGACAATACTTTATCAGGTCAATACAACATTCAACAGCCACACAGTAGCCACAGCTGTTTGGCAATGCCAGCCACTTGCAGACAATACTTTATCAGGTCAATACAACATTCAACAACCACACAGTAGCCACAGCTGTTTGACAATGCCAGCTACTTGCAGACAATACTTTATCAGGTCAATACAACAATCAACAGCCACACAGTAGCAACAGGTGGAAGATATCTTTAATCACTTAAAGTACCCACGTGAAAACCAACTCATAAACACCATGGAAGAAATCCATTTACACCTAGATCAAAATAACAAAGCTCAGATAGATGTGCAGGGGCTTGACTTCAGCAAAGCATTCGACACTGTAGCCCATGAGAGATTACTTCATAAAATAGAACACTACGGGATTAGAGATAACACCTTGACATGGATCAGAACATGGTTAACCATGGAGGAAGGAATTAACAGGAGTTTGAACGACCATAGGATCAAAGGTTCAGGGTTCGTTGCCGCGGTCGTAAAAACAGCAGCAGTCCAGATCGGATAAACACCCGCGAGCGCTATCAGTAAATCAATTAGCGGCCGCGACCGCAGCCCGGACACTCGCCGCAAAGCATTATGGGATTGCCACGCATGCGTACTGCGCCCGCGCCATGTTGTAAAATGGCGGCGCACGGTAAGGACGATTTTGTTACAGGCTCCGATTTGAGCGATTTGAGCGACGTTTCTGACGAAGAATTCGATGAAAATGAGGTGGCAGAACTCGACTACGAGTCCGAAGATGACGGTCGGCAGTATTGTGTGTGTGGGGAGCCTTCAACCATGGAGATGATCGCGTGCGATGATGATCAGTGTACCGTTGTGTGGTGGCACTATAGCTGCGCCGGTGTTTGTGCCGATACAATCCCAGACACCTGGGTTTGTAGTCGATGCCTCCCTGGAACGACTGAAGAAATAGGTAGGCCTATGTGGTAAAAGTATAGCGAAGAAAATAAACAGAAGAAAAAATACTTCACTTCAGTGATTTTGGTCAACATGAAAAATTGTGACATGTATTTTTATTTTGGCTAAAAATAATTCCTTCTTTAGTTCTTTCGCTGTCGTTAGTGTCAATTGTTGTTAATATTTTTTTTATATTTATTCCCACTTGAATACTTGCCAAGCACCATAGTTCAATAAAAAAAAATTGAAAGATATAGATATGCAATTTGATTAACAAAGATGGATGTAGGCCTATAATTTAGTTTGAACCATTTTATTTTACAGAGCATCTGATCCAACATGTCCAAGACTTATTTGTTTAAAAATCTTTTCCCCTACAGATTCATCTCCTGGTCCTGATCCTACAGTTTCAAGACCACCTCGTTCTCAGAAAACCAGACAGAAACCAAAGAAGACATCTGAGACTACAGATGCAGTGACCACAGACGCACTGCCATCAGCAAAAAAAGACAAAAAAGCTTGAAAGCCTCCAAAGCCTGGTAAGTAATTCATACTTCATGTCTTCTTAACATTTAACAGAAATGCATGTTTTGAATACATGTATGTGTTTGGGGCATTTGTATCTCCAAAACACTATGTACATGTACATACATTTACATAAAATCTCGATTTGGCAAATCTCAATGGAACAAGCTCAAAATTTGAGTTAAGCAGACTTTTGAGTTAAGAGAAGTTGTATCATTGTTATACTTCTGAAGGGAATATATTCTTTGTTTGGCTTAACAGGAGTTTTAAGTTATCAGAGTTTGACTTATTGAGATTTCATGATATTTAAATAATTAAAGTTTTAAAATCCACAATCCTCCTGCCATGTTTAGTCCAATGTATGCACAATGTAATAATATAATTTTTCAATCATTTTGTTTGCAATAGCTGTAAAACGTCCCGAGGCAAAGTTCTGTGAAGCTGATGCACTTCAGAAAGCTGACCATTACTTCATGTCTGGACTACAGCAGCTGCAGCAGCACCCAATCTGCCTTGGAGTCTACCCCACCGCGGTCTGCATGCTGAGTCTCGTCGCGAGCTTGATGGCCAAGACCAACACCGAAGCATTGCAAGATTTCTGCGCGGCTACAGTTAGCGGATTGTGGTTCGTCATAACAGCCGGAGATTCTAAATATCTTAAACCAGAAGGCTATGAGATTCTTTGGCGAGCCTTTCACAAGTACAGACTGGAGGTAAACGATAAGTGGATAGAACTTTTGCAAGCCATGGGACTGTACAGAGAGGGGCAGCATGTCCACCTTGTTTGCCAATTTCTATTGCAGGCAGTTTTACAGGCTATCATTGAAGATAGAAATAAACAAGATAAACCCATTGACAACCCAGCTGAAACAAAGTCTGAGAGTTTAAGTCCTCAGGAGGAACAGGTTTTGAGATATGTATCTGGATATATTCCATTTTCTCTGTTCAAAAACTTAAATAAACAAAAAAATGACACTGCTATGACATACTGTAAATTCCTTAAATCCTGGAAAGTAGACTGTAGTGATGAAACTGCAAGGACATTTCTCCAATACACAAACGACTGGATTGATAAACAAAATCGTGGTGGGTTATTTCGTGTGTCTGATGGGGTATATTTATTGTTCCGAGCCATGGAGCAGGAGACATGCAAGTATTTGACCAAGAATAATCTAAAAACATTTCAAGGATGTGATATTCAGAGCACGCTTTTGAACAATATTAAAGGTAGTCATCGAGTACAAACCTACTGGTGTAGTCTAACACAAGGAAAGATAACAGGGGACACTTCAACAAACTTACTGAACATGACTGTGAAGAAGTGGATAAAAATCAGAGCAAAAGCTTTCATTAATGTGTATTTAAACTTGAAGAAAGCAACACATGGAAATGTTGGGAAAAAAGCAGAAAAAGCTCTGCGTAAGGATCTGTAAATTCTGATACATGTACATCGTACTTTGCAAGTAAATCAAGTGTCTGGATTCCATGTCTCAATTGTAATTGTAAGCATGCCACCCAACAAGCTGATACACCAGTTCACAATATGCATTACTATATTCTAAGTGGCTTTTTGTTATCATTTAGTATTAAAGGGAATTTGATGTACAAGTAGCGATACTCGAAAGTTTTACAGATATGCAATAACATTTCAATGCTGACAGCTGACAGCATCGAAGTACAAGTGCTGTACATATTCATTGTTAATGTAATTGTATCATTAATACATGTACATGTACATGTATACTAATAAAGGTTTGATCGCAAACATGCCTTTGTAGATGCAATGTGACATATTTTTTCCTCCTTTAATATTCCCTGTACTTAATACCCACATTATTATTATTATTATTACATCTGTACAATGTATTTTGAATGGTGCTTCTGTACATTTTCGATCCTTTTCATTGCAGCGGCCATCGTGTAATTGCTTTTTCCCAAACAGAGATACACGCAATACTAGTGCATGAACATTCAAACTCACTGAATTAAACAAACACTAACAGCAAGGTATCATTTAATTTGTAAATGTCTCTATTTTGTTAAATCAACCTTTGGAATGTTCGCTTTCTATCAGTAGTACAAGAAGAAATGTCAAGATTCTAATCACTTTATCCCTGTGATAACACATGGGAATGAAAACTGTATAGCTACATGTATGATGTATTACAATACTTTGAATTCATTTATATGACAGACTTGGTACAATCCCTCATGTCTCAGATGACACTCCCATGTTACTCTTACCGATATTTACAAATGTATAGTTTTGCAGAGTAACCATGCCAATGAAACAATTTATGAAAATTAAATCCATGCTGTACAAACTGTGGCAGAAAGTGACACATTAAAAGAAAAGGAATATGAACTGAAGGATCCTCTTAATTATTTAAATTCTGCGTGTCAGTTATTTTACAGGTTTACTGCAACCACTTATGATATGACTCCTAAAAAAACTCAACGAGGAATGGCAATTTTTTGGGTTCATCATAATTGGCATACACTACACAAGAAAGCTGAACATTTTAGGCTTATTGGAAGCATACGTTAAAGTCGAAAGAATTGAAATGAGCACCAAACCGTTGATGTTTCAGTTTGACGGTATCAGATGTTAAATCTTGCAGTCCTTGCACTGTATTTTTTTTACCCAATGTGAGAAAAATTTGGTCTCTATATCATGCATGATATAAAACATTATTTTGGGAAAGAATGTTGCAACCTGGCGCCACTTTTTTCTTAATACATCATCTCAATAATGGTTAGTCATTATGAAAATGTTAAAAAGCCATGAATCTGGGGCAGAGAAAACTTTCCAATATTGTAAGGAAATACACGATTTTTTTTGTAACTCTCCATACACTTTGTACACAACCGCTGAAGTGGCATCTGGATACTACATTCTTTCCTTACTTTCTCCGAGGAAGAGGTGTGCTATCAAGAGCAGCCACTTCATCTGCACCCTGTACTTTGCAGTTGCCTCTCTTAGATGCTTTGACGCAGCTGGATGCAACATACAGGGCCTGCATGTTATGACCAAACTGCTCGACGGTCGGGCTATCGCTGCAGCCACCTGTGCCACGCTGCTTGCTAAAATACTGCTCCAAAGGATCCTGATTAAATTTCTCGCTTAGAAGAAAAGTCACACCAGGAAGCTTGAGCAGCAGCCTCCCTAGCTCAACAAATGAATGCACTGAAACAGAAAATCCAAAATAGGGATTTGTGTTAAAACTTTGAAGAGCCAACTGTCGTGTACACATGTATGCATACACTGTACAAACAATGTCAAGACAAACTTTTTAGGTACAGCATGCATGGAGGAAGGAAGGAATTCCGTCCTCCCTGGTTACAGCAAACAAAAACCTTGGTCCCGACTGTGTATTTACATGTTGTCGCGTCAGTGCAACAAAGGTTGTATTGCGACGTCCATTTACTTTGTGTGCACATCCGGGTTATTTTAAGCGAGATACGACCTTTTGACATTATTAAACTGGAGTTTCGTGTAAGTGCAATTTTAGGAGATACGACCTTGTTGCAGAGATGACTTTAAAACAAAAAGGGAAATGATTCAAGCAAACCATTGCTCACAGATTTCGTAAAATAAAACAAGACTGTGACATTCTACTTTGAAGTTTTACAGTTACAATTAACTGCATTCATTGGAAATATAGTTCACAATGTATATGGCATTGAACACACACAGGATGGATTGATGGCAGTTATTGGTACCGTTTCTTAAACACTGTTGATCTAACCTGTTATTCTCATCCCCTTGAGAGTTTCCTTGCTGAGGATCATCTTCGCCTTGGCTGTCTTATCCAGGGCTGGGTGTGACTCAACTTCAGCCTCCCATTCATCAAGGAAACCAAGGAAGTCGTGCATCAGCCACTGTTGACAAAAAATGAAATCATCTGAAAATTATAAATGTAATACCAAATCACTGTGGTAATACAAGACAGTTAAAGTAACACAACAATTGGCATTCATTGAGACATCTGCTACTTACGTCAAATCTTTTATCCTCAGCACTGATGTAAGGTTCCAAGTTGGGCTTCCTGAGGCGAGCGTAATCGTAGGCATTGGAGACATTCAGGCAGTCAAAGAAGTCATCAATGTATCTGATGAATTTGATGGTGGACTCCAGACCAACCTTGCCTGCCTTCATCTGTGCATCAAGAGTGTTGGCAACCGTGGAGCTCATAACCTACAAATCAATTAGAATGATTATACTTCCTGTTTCACTGTCTGTACACACTGGAACTGTAGGTTGTGACGGTACAGTTGCCACCTTAGCATAAACAATGTTGCCACCAGACGGCCAACAGACTTCAACGCTGCAACTGTTTTCTTAATTTCTAAAACAAAAAAATCCCAATAGATTTTGATGACGGCTTTGCTTTGTAAAAATTTGCAACTTCAGAGTTGATGACCTTCTGCGGTTCCCATGTTTTGAGTGCTTTTAAAAGGGGGATTTTTAAGCATGTGTTCAATCATGCAATAACTTAAATCATTTTTTTTGGCACTAGTACGGAGATTAATTGGTAAAATCAAAACCACGTCAATTAAAAGCTTACCTGTGCAGCCATGTACACCCGCATTCTGAGGGACGGAGTTAGGTGCAGATGTTCATAGGTTATCTTGTGCAGGCGACGGAGACCCGGTGAATGGCGATCCAAGCCGACATCCCACTCATACAACTGAAGGAGTTGCGTCCACTTGATGTCTTGCTTATGGTACTATGAAAGAAATACACAACACAGCCCACAAAATAAATAGATGTACTTAATCAGGTTTCAGGTTTCAGGTTTATTTATTTCCACAGTATTAATCCAACAAAAGTTAATCATAGAAAGTAATATATAAATAAATAAATAAATGGATATATAAGGATGCAATTAACGAACAAGTGATACTGCAGAGGGATCCATTAAGAAGCAAAGCTTGTAGGCAATGGTCCCTATAAAAAGCAAACACGTGCATTGAGCCTACAGAAAGAAGATAAAAGAGAGGGCGTGAGATTGGGAGACAAAAATACCAATAGGGCTCAGTGCACATGTTGCTTACAAAAGCTAAGTTTAACTTACAGATGTGAACAGACAAAAACCGACAAGTACCTAATGGCATGGGCTATATACAATGTAGGCTCGCTAACTGGATTAAAATGAACAATTGCATTGCAGAGATTCAGCTATAAGCTTCTAACAAAGAAGATTTGTAAATACGTTTAAAGGTCGAAATATCACTTAGTTGTTTGCATCAAACAATTCTACGGACCACAGAGAGCATTCTGAATTGGATTTTGTAAACAATTCTCAAAAATGTATAGTTTCTTTTTAATTACAACCTTTTTGATGCATGTGGGGACTACTGTATGATTAGACAATTTCAGCATCCCATACCCAAGCACTCCTTAAAATAGATTTCTGTTTAGATTTTTTTTTCTATTTTCTTGCTGTTAATATACAAAATATGAAAGACAAAATTAAACAAACATGAAACTCACGCAGAGTGTCCTTGTCTGCCGATTGTATCCCGAATTCTCGAAGTTGTTCCTTGTTGTTTTCAGCAGATGGGGAACATCGCACAGGAAAAAGATTTTCCGGTTGGGGTCAAAGGGATTCGGAGTGCAATACGTTGGCACACTCGTCTCAGAACTCTCTCCGTGTAACCGATAGAATTTCCTATTTGGAGAGGCTCCATCGGACACCAAACCCCGAACCTGCAGCCCAGCTGTTTCTAACCACAAAACAGCTTCCCACATGCACGGGTACAACTGGTCGCCTGTGATGCCGGTAGTTGGGAAATACGCCACTGGAGCACGTAAAGAACTGAAAATGCCCCTCACCATCAGAACCATGACATGAGTTGCTATGGTTGGCTCCTCGTCTCCTCTGCACCTCCTTTCAAAAGCAGCAATCTCGTTGGCCACACTCCCCAAATCAGTGAAACCCATGATTTTCCCAGACCTCACAGAGAAGGCCAAGCCTGCTTTCACCTTCATTTCATCAAATAGAAGAGACACATTGCGTTCGAACTCAGGAACCGTCTCCAGATGCCAGTCCTGATAAATCCTGGCAAGCATAGAGGCATATAACCCTGTAGTGAGGCTGGCAAAATGGCTGTATGAATGCAGCGTGCTCGGGTGGGGTAGCTTAAGAAAGCCTGAATCACGAAGAAGACCATACCCTGCTGAGGACTTGCTCTGAAGGGCAATGCACCATCTGATAATGGCAGGATGCCATCGCATCTGTTTGCCCTTCAGAGCCGACTCCTTTTGCTGTTCCCATAACAGCCTTGCTGGGGAGCTCAACCCAAGGATTTTCTTCATCTCGTCATCACAATCACCTACTGTCGCTGATAACTGCTTATGCTGAATTCCATCAACCGCCACATTCTCCTTTTCCAGCATGGAGGCTACTTTGTCCTTCAAGGCTAGACTTCGTCGTTTCAGGTTTCTCCTTTCGGTCTGCAGAAGGGACACTTTCTGTTGAAGCTGTTGATTTGTCAAGTTCTTGTTTGGAATTGTGGAATCGACGGACACATCCTTGAACAACTTTCCTTTCTCCCGACTTGCAAGGACCATCAAGTCACTCCGATGAATCCTGCACACATCACACCGGGGCCTATTACTAAGAAGGAGACATTTGATGTGTCTAACTGTCCCCTGACAGTAGATGTCATTGGCTGTAATCCTGATTGGCATCTGACCTTCTGCCCCCTTCCTTGCCTCCACAACGCCATGAAGATCTTTGTTTCCCTCACAAACAAATAGTGAAGACAACTTCCGCAGCATATCCTGGAAATCTTCCACACTCAGAACCCTTGGGTGCCCACAACAGACGGGAAGGTCCCCTTGTGCAACAATACCGGCTACAATCAAACGCCACGTACAGTCATCAAATACTGTAAAAAACACAGAGGGCATACCCTCACCATCCATCTTCATGACTTGAAGACGACTATCTGTCAACCATGTGTTGAGGCCTGCACTTCGAGCTGCTTCCTCCCATTCAACTTTCGCCAACGTGGCCGTGGTCGATTGTGAAGAGATCCCTTCACCCCTTGGAAAATTAGAAACTTTGATGTTGAGGGAGGCCTTCTTCTTTTTCTTTGTTGCATCCCACCATCTCCGCAACTTCATCTCGCACGGTCGGCAAATGTAGGGTGGATGAATCCCAGTGACATCTTCTTCTACGTTGATGTTCAGGCCAGCTCGAATAATTTTCGAAACATCCTCCTTCCGTGTAGGATTTCGATGTGATTCCGAACGCCTCAAAACCCCACATAATCTACACAAGTCTTGCAACTCTGGACCTGACATCTGCATGCAATAAATAGACAGAAAATAATAGGGAAAAAAAATGGATCAATGCTTCTCAGTGCAGTATTCTAACATTTGCTTGGAAAGTGGAAATACTTTAAAGCGAAATTGCACGTCCTTATAAAAAATAATACATAAATAAAATAATAATCATTACATTCCTTTTAACTTTATTTTAAATCTTAAAATGAACCACAAAAAATTATGTTTAAAGAAAATAGTTAACTGAAATGTCACAATTAAGAAGAAAAAAAAAATAAAAACGTATGTAATTAAGAATTGAACATGCAGAACTTGAAGTACATGTTCCAATTAAAAAATGGTGTAAATGGTGAAAGTGTTGATTTGTAGTTAAAAAAATTAAACAGAGACTAAACAATCAGACAATGATGTGCATTGCCCTCAAAAAATCTAACTTCTCAAATCAAAGATTCTTAGATTTAAGAATAAAAAAATTAAAATTAAGTAATGAAGTGAAATATAGTTCTGTAACCATTGTCGTAACCAAATATTGTTTTTTAAATCCCAATCCAAAATAAACAAAGATTTCAGCAATTAACGTTAATAAGAATTATTTAAAACATTTGAAATATTTGTTGCCATTATCATTCAATCATGATTATAAAAAAAAAATTCATCACTGTGTCATGACTAAAAATATAGTTTTGTAACGAGATTGGTCTTTAAAAAATAGCCTTCTAGAGGGTAAAATAATGTTTGTTTCCCAGTGGTTTCCCCAAACAATGTTCGTAGCAACGCGTAAAATACATATTAAACAAAATCGGAAGGTCGAAAACGAAGTCCGGTAAAAATATTGCACGGGACTGCACACCTTAAGTACACAAACGAATGGCTAAAATACAGCCTGCCGATGCAACCTTTCGAGTTTCAGCCGTCGGAACTTGTCGGAAATGCGTCAAAATCAATAAAATATGTATTCATAATTTTCCTTACCTCTCAATATGTCATTCAAAGAAAGATCGATGTATTTCCCATTTAAACATCAGAAGATCGAGAATTTTTCACCGCATTCGCTAGAAAAGATGGCGCATGAAAATAACAGCTGGGGGGTTACTGCGCATGCGAAATGTATGATTGTTCGTGCATTCGTGTATATCAACCCTTGTACCACGAACGATTGTTAGCTCCAATGAAGCGACCAGGGGGGCAACGAAGCCTGTGCACAGAGGAGTCTTTTCGCGGTCGTAAGGGCAACCCTCTACCGAAGTTACAACCCCAAACAACATTTCTAACTCAAGTTATCATCTGGAAACTAAGCTACCCGGACAGACGGACGCACTGACATACGGACGGACGGACACCCTAGGTGATGACAATACCCCTCGAGCCTCTCGGCTGAGGGGTAAAAATCATCATGATAATATCTACAGATTGATGAATGCCAACCTTTCTGTTGTACCCAACCATCCATACCTTGGAGTTGAAATTCAAAAAGATTTGTCATGGTCTCTTCACATCCATCAAATAGCAAGCAGAGCTAATACAACACTTGGTTTTGTGAGCCCATGCCTCCAACACTGCAGAACAGTCAGCAGGGTCACTATGCTTTACCGCTCCATCCATGAAGAAATTGCCCTTAACATCCCTTATTACATCACCCCAGAAGAACGACCACAAAGAAATAGACATAATCAGCGCTACGCTTCCTTGCAATGCCGCACACAAGCGTACCACAAAAGTTTGTTCCCAAAGACGATTGAAAACTGAAACGAGCTCCCAAATGATCTTATTCATCAAACATCATCGTCCCAATGTAAATATCCCTAGGAAAACATCTTGCATCACAACCTTACTTTCACGCTTGCACGGCACCAACGAGAAGTCAAACTGCATGATGATGCCTAGCGGCGATATCCAGTCAACTTTCTGAAATTCTGTCATCACATTCTTAAATTTGTTAGAAAGTGTAATGTCATGATTCAACCATCCTTTTTTACCAGACTACCTCTCAAACTGAATTGACATTGCATGACTGGACATGGCGTTGCGTTATCGTCACCTGGGGGTACAAAGACTCAGGGTCAATAGAACAGAGGATCAAGCAGAGGATATGAACCAAAAACTGTTCAATTCATTCAAGGATAACTAAGGCTACACCATGGAACAAAAGAGGAATCAAACCAAGGTCAAAGCCCATGCAGAACATAAACTTGCTACTTACTTTATCATCAATGGTGTCAATCTTAGTCAGCACAACTCCGTCAATCAGTGGAGGTTGATCCATGTCTCAATGGTGTGCTCGATTGATTGCCTGGTCCACTGCTTCGTTACCACCCAAATAACTCCCCAACCAAGAGAACCAACTCAGACTGGTTGATTTCAATCAGCTGTTTGAGCAAAAATAACAAAACAGGAATAACAGTAATCATAAGGAAATGAAACATTTTCTATCTTTGTGCAGTTCTTTCTTGAAGGCAATCGATTGAATTCTGTTTTTTACATCGTGTTTCTACATTGGAAGCTATGGCAACAGTTGAAAATAAGTTATGAGCTGCAATACGACAGAGTGTTCTTAAAAGCGTGTTTGTCAATTAAACCGTGTAATTTGTGATTTCAACCAGCAAACTAGTGCTCAAAATCTAAACAAGGATGCTTAATAACTAACCTGATGAAGTTTTGGCTCTATGAATGCTCTATATTTCGAGAAAACTGAACAAAAAATTAACCACAATATTCTGAATCTCAAATGCCAAAGTTGCCCAGTCAAATTTTGAACAAACTGAACTGTTATACACTGCCCAGTTAAGTTAGGAATATATGTCTATGTAGAACAAAGGTTCACGAAATTAGCTCCCTTCCAGTACAATCAATGATTATGTTAAAAAAATGTATCTTTAATAGTGTGATAAATTTCAGTAAACATTCTATGTGCGCAAAAAAGTTATTTCTGATTTGATGACATCATCAGTCAAAAGCGGTAAGTGAATACTGATAAAGTTCAGAGAGGATACATTTTCATTGTAAAGTGAAAATAACGTATGAAAATATGGGAAATATAATTGTTTGTATTAATAACACCTAACTTCCGGTTTGATGACATCACAGCATTAGAGTTATCCAAACGTGAACATTGTAATGGATATCATTACTTGGACTACGAAGATATGACAGGGATCAAATGATAGAATTAAATTAAAAATATGATCCTTTTCAAATTCTAAAATTAAAGAAAGAAAACTCTATTTGATGTGCCGCTAGGGGGCGCCCTTTCGGATGATGACGTCATCACACTTTTTTTGTGTCTGGTATTCCTCACTTTCATAATATGTGTGTAGTAAAATGCTTCCACTTTTGACTTGCATTCGTTTATTATTTCCGGTAACAGCGGAAGTGAAGGTCAAGCAGTTTCGTGTCTGGAACAAGAAATGTTTCTCACGGCATAGTCTACAACCTCACGAAAAAACGAACACGATACTCTATGTAGTTCAAAATATACAGCGCAAACTATTTTGTCAGAATTTGCCCTGAAATTGCTTGTACAATGTAACTTGATACTTGATGACGTCATGATGAAGTAAGAAAATTTAGAAAATCTTCGTAACATGGTACAAGTTCACACTAGGTTTCTGGATCATACTGTGACCAAAATGCCCCCAAATCCCACTTTTTACTTAAGTTTTATTACTCTAAGTCTTACATATATCCTCCTAGAGATCTGCCATTTTTGTCTAGAAAATTCCTGTTGTCTTTTCAGGTACTACTTTTAGGTAGTTTTGAGTATTTTCCTGCCGAAATTCTGTGTGTACATTCACGTGTTTGTTTACACATGTCAGCTGTGCTAAAATAGCGTGGTGGTAAAATCCAACATGGCTGCCATTTGAGCAGCGCTTATAACGTTTCTGATTGGCTGAAAGTTCTAAAATTATTTCTAGCAAACTGAGACTTCTAAAAAGTAATTTATATTATTAGAACTTTTTACTAAATAATTATGTAGCTTCTTTAGATGTGAAGTTGTCTACTTTGAAAGTTGGGCAAGTTTTGATGACTTTTCTGTCAGATTTCGTCTGGTAAGTCACAGCCTTGACTCCATGGGCGCGTGCGCATTCCTTCACTAACCCCTGGCCGTGATGTACACATAAATGATGCTGACTGGCTTGTTAAAGCATACTGCGCGCGCATTTCGAAGATTGATACATTTAATACAAATCTTTGCTAAATAACGCAATGTCCAAACCTTATGTTTGAAAGGATGGATTCTTCAAAATTCACAATTTTTAACATTTTAAAGATGGCGTCGGCAACTTCTGCCTAATTACTGTATAATGTGCCATATTTCGATACATTTAAATTACACAATTACAGGGGTTAAGATCGTGCAAGGCATGATGGGAAGCAACATGGCGCAGAAAGATCTCGTACCCATGGGAACAAGGTTGGGTAAGTCAGTGACTGTCTCATGATTATTCATATCTGTGACATCACTGAATTTTCTTCAATGAACTTAAAGGGAATATACATCATTTGCTTTTGCTGTAACTTTCAGAAATGAATGGAATTGGGGGGTTTGGAAATATATAGCAAATATAGTTACACTGACTTTTTGAGGTTTTGGGTTCAAAAATGCTATAAAAACCAAGAAAAACAATCATTTTCCTGTAGTCTGGTTCCCTGACTCCATATAAGAAGAAACAGAGCAGTTTACATACTTGGGGAATTGTAAGGTCAGAGAACCAGTCTAGCTGGCTTGTACCGGTTCATAGGTGTGTAATCGATTGCAAACAAGTGCGATGGTCAATTGGGGCCAGTATTTGGAAAAAAGCCAGTTTTTTACAACGCTGGTCAGCCGACCAGCGTTGGAAATTGATACAAGAATACCACTTTTCTTGAAAATGACAGTATACCAGGTGCCATGATTTTACAGGATGCTTTACACTGTCATTCACTAACAGTCCAGCAAGGTATTTCAAAATGATTTGGTAGTTTTATTTTGTGATGTTTGCAAATGTTGCATTTTCCCTTTAAGGTTTGTTTACATTCATTCACTACTTGTAAAAGTGAGCATTTGGGAGATTCTGTATAATTTATTCACATGTTTACAACAGATTTACTGTAAGGAATGTCTTGAAGATTAATTTGAGCCTTTTTGTGTGATATTTTGCTGTATAATTCTGGAGAAATTGAGGGGAAACTATCGCTATGTGAATTCAGTATACTGTGATTTTTACAAAATGAGCGTGGCCTATTAAACTAGCGCGTACTTTAGATTTTCGCGCTGGGCCAATAGGGTATAAATAGGGCAGGTTTTGTTCATTCTGGGTACGGTTCTTTGATGGGTGTTGGTCTACTGCTAGCTGCGAACTCTACTGCTGATCTCTAACTGTATTTACACATAGTGCTTTGGCCAGTTTGGGGAGCTGAGATACTTAGAGAATGTGTCATCTTTACAACTTGAGTTGGGGGAGCCAACTTGATAAAATTGGGGAGCTGAGCTGAGCTGGGCAGCAAAGTTTTGGGGAGAAAAACTTTGGGGAGCCAGAGTCGGAGAGCGGATATCTAGACAGTTAGTAACTGTGATTTACATCAGTTGTAGCTGATATCTTTAATTATTAAGACTCTGACAGGAGTCAGGGGATCTTAAGATATATTTGGAGTCAGGCTGCTGAGTCGGATTTCATCGAGGAATATCAAGAGAGGCCTGGGGCCTATTAGATTTTATTGCCCGACCACTCAATTAGAACACATTTGAGGAGGGGGGGGGGGGAATCACAGAAATTAAAAAAAATGTATCACTTGACACATGTTTGGAAATTGATAGAATGCGAAAATTTTGTCACCCATTTGTGTATTCCCAAGTTGCAAACCAAGTGCATTTAGAGTGCATGGGGAGGGGGGATTTACAGAAATTTCCAAAAATGTGTCACATGACACATCTTTGCAAATGATCTTTTCTTTTCTTCAAATTGACAGCATGTCAGAAAGTTGTCAACCATTCGTGGATAACAAACTAAATACAAAAATTAGAACATATGGGGG